CAAAGCTATGTTTTCTTTGGCAAATCACTTGTATCCTTTCAAAAAACAGCTCTTAGCTTGTTGATCTGGGCTCTGATAGAAACAAAAAATCTGACAGTAGACATTAAGTACCTATATGGCCTGAATTAGCTGTCATGAAGTAGGTTTTATCTCATGCACTAAGTCATAAACTTGGACAGCATTCCATCACTTAGTGGAAATAGTGTACACATAATTGGACTTGAACAGGTACTATAGGCACAGTTAATTTGTATGAACAGATGATTCACATTCCTAATATGTCTACTTCAATTGCACAGTCACCCTCCTTGTCAGTGATACCTTTGACATCTTGAAGATTCCTGAGGACGAGCTAACTAAAGAAAAAAAATGAGCCTGGTTTCTGAGTAGCTGTGAATGTTGTACTGACACCATGCAAAATGTGGATTACTGCAGTATTATAAACTCACTTACATATTACCCCAAAAGACAGTGATGAAGGAAATCCCTTCCAGTTGGTTGAAACTCAAGATATATATCTCACTGTTTACTTTTTCTGGAAGGATATATATCCTGAGACGTGAATCATTACTTATTCATGGGTAGTGACTAATGGTTTGGCTGGATGGTCAGAGTCTGAAAGAATAAGACTGGAGGATTGGTGAAAAGGAAGTATGAATAAGAGCTTTCTGCATTGATCTCTCAGAATGGGCACCAAGCACAAGAATGTTTATGTCTTACATGAATATTCTTCCAGAGTTATCCTTAGCAGGACAAGATTTCAATAATCTTGGAAAATTTATCTTCCCTTATAATAATATTAGGAGTTCTTTTCTATATGCTTCATGTATTTTATTGCTAATTTATCATTTTATTTTTTATATATTGTGAACCTCTTAAGAACAGTAAGTAAATGTTTTGTTCATTTTGTGATAAAAATTTTTATTCTATTTCTGTCTTCTAGTACAATGCTGTCATACAGCAGGCATGCAATACATATTTAAATGAACAAAAGAAGACACTGTGCTAAGCAAGTATATATTTTATTTTCTCACTCAGATTGGATCATTTCCATAATATTGACATCCAGATTGATTTGATTGTGTTTCACCTGTCTGTGTTATTTCCCAAGTCTACCTAGTGCTTGCTCAATGGGTTATTATACAGTGATGGCTGGCCATGGTGGCAGGAATAATATAAAATATTTCTCATCAAGGTTCACCTACTGGGTTGACAACTTGCTTATAAAAACAAACTCTCCCTGAGCCTGACCCAATACAGTCAGCTACCTAGTGACAGGTAATTACAGTAAGCTGCATTTTTCACTGCTGGAATACAGTGTTTTGATATGCCTTCTTTGCCCAGCATGCTTCCGCTAGTTACCCTGATCCATTTACTGTATGCCATATAAACAGTCAAAATTCCCACACAATATTGCCTTCAACCAAAGAACTTTTAGCCAAAGCAGTAAGGAAATTAATTTGGATGATTCCCATGTGATGCACTGGTCTTTCCATGGACCGCATCGCACAGAAGCTGATTTTGCCTCAGCCACTGTGCCAGCTGAGAGCTGATCATGTGAGGTTAGTACTCTTTAATGGGATGCATGGAAGTATTTGATCAGGATATGATAATTCTCTCAAAGTCGTATTCCATAGATCTGGAGAAAATTAGAGTGGTACTCTTTTCTCACTATTCCATCTAATAAAATATTTTTATAGCAACTCTAGGGTTTGTTGATTGAAAGATCTTAGTACTCAAAGGAGGAAAGTTTCCTTCAGGGAATACAATAATGGTTACACTGAATTGAAAGGTTAAATATCAACTGACTATCTCAGGTGCCTTATTTACATTAGGGGAACAGGGAACAAAATGTCATTACATTATTAACTTAAATGAGGTGGCTCTTACACAACTGAGAGGTAGAGAGAAATAGAATCCCTGTGGGTACTCTTGTGACCAGTGGTAAAAGAAAATATAGCAACCCTAATCAAGCACAACCATAGGTTTAGATCTTTCATCTGACTTCAAAGCTCTAGCAGGTACAGTTGCTGGCTGAGAAAAAAGGGAAAATTAATGGCAGTATAAGAAGGGAATCTTTAGGGCTTCCTCAAAAATGGAGGCATAGATGGAGACACCTTGCTTTGTCACACAAGCAAGTTTAGAGACAACAAAATATTAGCAACAGAAAACACAGCCAGAACACAGAAAATTGAACTTTTCAGAAGTCCTATAACAATGAATGCTTCAGTCTGACAGGTAAGAGGGGTGAAACCAGCAGCTGGCGGAGCAGAGTTGCACAGGAAAACTCGGTCAGATGGACTCAGGCACACGGATCCCAGGTGTGCAGTTGCAAAGGGCCAACTCAGTGAACGACCTAGTGAGAACAACCCAGTGAGTGACCGGCACATCCGGCGATAGTGAAGGGCAGTGGGTTGACTGTGCTGGTGCATTCCTGCACAGATAGACCAGCGAGGTAGTGGGCAGTGAGACGGGACCGAGTGGGTCCCAGCCACGGGAGGCAGCAGAGATAAACAGTGTCACAACTCAGCAACCTGAGCAACTCTGCCCTGGTGAAGACCTCAGGCTTTGCTCTTCACCCAGCCATGGGAAGCAGAAGAGGGGGAGGCCATTTCCCCACTCTGACCCCACCACCACACACAGCGTCACAAACCCGAGACCCCACCCTGGAGGCCCCGCCCGCCCTGCCCCTAAGGCTCCTCTCTTCAGACTTAATGGGCGCAAGCAGACCAAAAATAGCTCAAGAAGATCACAAAGCCCCAGAGCCCATAAATCTAAGGGACAAAGAAATAGCAAAACTTTCAGATGCACAGTTCAAAACACTGGTGATCAGGATGCTCACAGAACTGGTTGATTTTAGTCACAAATTAGAGGAACATATGAAGGCTAAACTAATTGAAATGAATGGCAATGCACAGGAAACCAATAGTAATGGAAAGGAAACTGGGGCTCAAATCAAAGGAGTGGACCAGAAGGAGGATAACAATGACCAACCAGAAGAGAATGAAGAAACAAAAATTCAAAAAAATGAGGAGAGACTTAGGAACCTCCAGGACATCTTTAAACACTACAACATTTGAATTACAGGGGTACCAGAAGGGGGAAAGGCACAGCCACCAGTGGAAAACTTATTTGAACAAATAATAAAAGAGAATTTTCCCAATCTGGCAAAGGAAATAGACTTTCAGAAAATCCAGGAAGTTCAGAGAGTCCCAAAGATGTTGGACCCAAGAAGGAACACACCAAGGCACATCATCATTACATTAGCCAAGATTAAAATGAAAGAGAGAATCCTAGAAGCAGCAAGAGCTAAGGGGACAGTCACCTACAAAGGAATCCCCATCAGACTGTCAGCAGATTTCTCAAAAGAGACCTTCCAGGCAAGAAGGGGCTGGAAAGAGGTATTCCAAGTCATGAAATCCAAAGACCTACAACCAAGATTGCTCTATCCAGCAAAACTTTCATTTAGAATGGAAGGACAGATAAAGTGCTTCTCAGATAAGATCCAATTCAAGGAGTTCATCATCACCAAGCCCTTATTATATGAAATGTTAAAGGGACTTACCTAAGAAAAAGAAGATAAAAAAGATGAACAGTGAAAGGACAGCAAATGCACAATTATTAACAACCACATCTAAAACAAAAGCAAGCTAAAAGGACAGCTAGATCAGGAGCAAAACCATAGAAATGAAGATCTCATGGAGGGTTAGCAACAGGGGAGTGGGAGGAGAAGGGAGGAGAAGGTACAGAAAATAAGTAGCATAGATGGTAGGTAGAAAATAGATAGATGGGGGGGCAAGAATAGTATGGGAAATATAGAATCTAAAGAACTTGAGACACATGGTCATAAACTAAAGGGGGAGGATTGTAGGGGTGGGGGTGCAGGTGGAGGAAAATGAAGGGGGGAAAAGAACAACTGTAGTGGCATAATCAATAAAATATAGATAAATAAATAAATAAATAAATAAATAAATAAATAAATAAATAGAATTGTAAAAAAAGAAGGGAATGTTTAATCGTTACTGTGTCCTTGTGATTAGATGTAGAAAACCATATCATAGCATCATTTCATATCATTTTCCTCACTGTGCTATATGGATTTGCATATTTTAACTAATTTATTTCTATATCCCCAAGTATTTTCAGGTGTGTTAGTAATCATTACAAATATGAGGTGTCTTGGTTACTAAATTTACCAGTTAGAATATTGAGACAGTATTGTAACACAAAAAGATGAACAAAGGTCATTACAGATGCATTACCAGGGGTGTCAAACTCATTTTCACTGAGAGCCACATCAACCTCCTGGTTGCCTTCAAAGGGCTGAATGTAACTGCAACTCCTTAACAATTAAGGAGTAGTTACATTTATATAGCCCTAAAATCATTTTGGCCATCTGAAGGCAACCACAAGACTGATGTGGCCCCTGGTGAAAATGAGTTTGACACCCTTGCATTATGCCTTTAGAGCTGGATAAAGTAAGCAATAAGAAGTTTTGGTTGCTATCTAATCTTAATTAATTTGGGCTGTTATAACAAATTATCATTAAACTGGGTTGCTTATAAACTGCAAAAATTTATTTCTTATAGTACTGTAGGCTAGAAGTCTAAGATACTGGAAAATTTGGTGTCTGTTGAGAGCCAGCTTTCTTAGAGAAGAATGTTTACTCACTGTGTCCTCACATGGCAGAAAGGGCCAGGAAGCTCTCTTGATCCCCTTGTATGAGGATTCTGCCCTCATGTCCTAATAATTTCCTAAAGGTCTCACCTCCTAACAGCATCATTTTAAGGGTTATAATTTCAACTTATGAATTCTGGGGAGACATAAACACTTTACTCCATTGCATAACTTTTGTACAGATAGTGCAGTTTGGTTGTATAAGGAACAACTGCATTATACCACATAAGAATGTGGTATAATGCAGGGGTTTTGGACCTTGAGAAAATCATTTCATCTTTTTTCCGTCAATTTTCTCACTGGTAAACTAGGGAGCAGATAGTGCTAACTTCGGCAAAACAAATACTAAAATTGAAACAATGCACAGAAGATTAGCATGGCCTTTGCAGAAGGCTGACACATATATTTGTAAATACATAAAAGATGCTTAGAAAAATGCCTAGCTTAAAGTAAGAACTATGCAATGTAAAACAAAATAGGATATGGAAAGAATACTACATGCTCATGTTAGATAGCTGAAGGAGTAAACTGTGGTAATCATTCAACATTGTTTTGGTTACTTAGGATCTAAACTTACCTTCCTATGTTTAGGGAATCCTCCACTATAAGCAGACAAAGCTAACTTCCTACTGATGGAAACTGCAGAGTCCGGGTACAGTACTTGTTTTCCCAGTACCAGTCTAGCTAGGAATTTGGCACACAACTTAAACTTTTCCAATCAAATGACCCTCCCAGAGAGACATGCTAGAATTCAATTTGGCAGGTGTGAAAGCAGTGATTGCAGCTATGCCTAGTCTCTGGACGCCAACAGACAGTGAGTGCTCTTAAGAGCAAAATTCCAGTGCCTCCATCAGCGGTGCATGTGATACTGTCTGGCACCTTTTGCACTAGCAGTAATGTTTTCACTCAACCAACTCTGCGGTATGATTAACAACATTGTTATTTATTGTACACTATGTAAGTCCAGTTTTAGGTCCTTCTAAAGACACTGAACAAATATATTTTTATTTTTATTATGTCTTAATAGAAATAGTTTTATTTAGATTGAATTGAATTTTGTTACTTCTGATTCAGATTACTGGTCTATAATATAGTTCAGTTCAATTTAATGAATATTTTAGAATTAAAATGTATTTTGCATTTGAGTACATGTGATCAGAAAAAACACTTTTTAAGAAGATATTTGCCATTACTAAATTACAAATTTTTATTTCTCATATTTGAAACAAAATTAAATTTGATTCATTACTGACTAAATATGTTTGTGATGTTCTTACTGAATTTTCGCATATATTCATTTCATAAAATTATTTTCGGAACTAAAGAAACACAGTGGTACATCGGTACTTGTGACAAGTACTGAAATTTACCAGTACCAAAGTCAAGTGATGATGAAGCATTTTCTCTTGAGGGGTGGAGATGTGATTCATACAAGTCTTAGCAAGTGGGAGGAGTCTCAGAGCAAGCTCTGAGTGCTGAAACACTTTTTTTCTCATCAAAATGCAATGAGAACAGGATTTGACAAGTTCTAAAGCCAACTAGTACCAAGATATGACTTGTACTATCATAGTGTGAAATACCAGAAGATGTTTGGGAATATATTTGTCTTTTTAGAATGCTAACATTTTTGTAGTTGTGGTTATAAATTTGGCTCTTAACCAAATGCATTTTGATAAATAAAATATTCTCCATGGTCTTACTAATCTTCTTCTATTCCATCTTATAGTGAAATCATATCCAGAAACTGGGACCCTGGAAAAAAAGAGAATATAAGGTAAGTAAAGGGTTATTTTGACCTTATTAGTGCATGTAAAAGAAAGGGAATGTTACTGAGAAACATCAGAAAAACAAAAAGTTTTGTTGGTTAATTAATAGTTTCATCTTTAAACACTTTCTCTTCAATTTTGCCTCATGTGAAAATCCATCAAATCTTTTTTTTCCTTTTTAAATTGTTCAAGTACAGTTTTCTGCCTTTCCCCCCAACCACTCCCCACCGCTCCAGCCCTCCCCACCTCCCTCCCTCATTTCCATCCCCTCTTATTATTGTCCATATGTCCTTTATAATTGTTCCTGTAAACTCTTCACCCTTTTATCCCACTTTATCCCCCATTATCCCCTCCTCTCTTCTCTCTTATTACTATCAGCCTGTTCTCAATTTCACAGTTTCTGGCTATACTTTGCTTGCTTGTTTGTTTTGTTGATTAGGTTCTTGTTAATGGTGAGATCATCACTGCTCTGATATTTGTCTTTAAGTGCCTGGCTTATCTCACTTAGCATAATGCTCTCTAGTTCCATCCATGATGTCTCAAAGGGTAGGAACTCCTTTCTTTCTGCTGCATAGAATTCCATTGTGTAAATGTACCACAGTTTTTTGATCCATTCATTTACTGATGGGCATTAGAGAGATGTAAATTAAAACCACAATGATATACCATTTCATGCCAGTCAGAATGGCCATAAACAAAGCAACAAACAAGTATTGGAGTAGTTGTGGAGAAAAGAGAATCCTAGTGCACTGTTGTTGGGATTGCAGACTGGTGCAACTACTATGAAAAACAGTATGTGTTGGTGGGATTGCAGACTGGTACAACCATTATGGAAAACAGTATGGAATTTTCTCAGAAAAATAAAAATCAACCTGCCTACTGACCCAGCAATTTCACTGCTGGGATTATATCCTAAGAATCCTAAAACATCAATATCAAAGAACCTATGCACCACAATGTTCATAGCAGCACAATTTACAGTAGCCAAGAGTTGGAAGCAACCTAGGTGCCCATCAGTAAATGAATGGATCAAAAAATTGTGGTACATATACACAATGGAATTCTATGCAGCAGAGAGAAAGAAGGAGCTACTACCTTTTGCAACAACATGGATGGAACTGGAAAGCATTATGCTGAGTGAAATAGGCCAGGTGCTGAAAGACAAATACCATATGATCTCACCTTTAACAGGAAGCTAAACAACAAAACAAACAAGCAAGCAGAGAAAAAAAGAAAAACCAAAGACACTGAAATAGAGAACAAGGGGATAGTGACGAGAGGGGAGAAGGAAGGGAAGTTAAGGGGAAAAAGTGGGAGGGATTTGGAGGAACAAATAGAAAGGACACAGGGACGAGAACTAAGGGGGTTGGAAATGGGAGGGAGGTGGGTAGCAAGGGGCAGGGGAGGCTGGGATGGGAGAAATAGACAAAAAAACTGTACTTGAAAAATAACTAAATAAAATTAATAAAAAAACTATGGAATTTCCTCAGAAAACTAAAAATGGAATTACTTTTTGACCTAGCAATTCCACTGCTAGGATTATATCCTAAGAACTCTGAAACACCAATCCAAAAGAACCTATGCACTCCAATGTTTATAAAAGCACAATTTACAATACCCAAGTGGTGGAAGCAACCTAGATGCCCATCAGTAAACGAATGGAACAAAAAACTATGGTACATTTACACAGTCGAATTCTATTCAGCAGAAAGAAAGAAGGAGCTCCTACCCTTTGCAACAGCATGATGGAACTGGAAAGCATTATGCTGAGTGAAATAAGCCAGACGGTGAAAGACAAATACCATATGACCTTACCTTTAACAGGAATCTAATCAACAAAACCAACAAACAAGCAAAATAAAAACAAAGACACTGAAATTGAGAACAAGTTGACAGTGACTAGAGGGGAGAGGGGAGGAAATTTCAGGGGAAAAGGGAAAGGGGTTGCAGGAACTAGTATAAAGGACACATGGGCAATAACAAGGGGGATGGGAATGATAGGGGGGTGGGGAGGACTGGATAGTGGGCTGGGATGGGAGTAAAAGACATAAAACTGTACTTGAACAACAATTAAAATAAAAAATAAAATACAATAAATAACTGTAAGAAAAGAAGTGAAAAAATAGGAGAAAACACTAAATAGTAATTATTATCAATGATATTTAACTTTCCACTTACCACTAATGAGTTTTTATATAAGATAAACTTATGAAAGGTTATGGTGAAGTTTTTCAATGATAAAATATTATGTTAACTTTAATTTCAAAAATAATACTTTTTTCAAATATGTTTGTGAATTATTTTTTTTTCTGGTTTGAAACCAGGAATTGTTTTCTGTGGTATTTGTGTTGATGTTGGAGTACTCAGTGCACCTACATTCATCTATGTTTAGTGTGGACACATGGTCACAGACTGTACTATATATAAAAAAATATGCTCCTGAAATCTTATTTTGCCAACATATAGTGTTTGGTGACTTATTTTCATCAATTCAATATAAAGGGATTTACAACATGGAAATACAAATCCTCTTACCCTCTTTCTTTCTGCTGTGTTCCAGTCTTAAAGTCAGTAAAAGCAATGTTTACTATCTTCTGTAGTAAAAATAACACAACAGAAAGAATAAGTTATAACTGCACATCATTCACATTAATATCATCATTACAATAAGAGTTTCATTTGTTATCATTTAATATTTAATAGCCAAATAAATGTAGCTCACTTTGACATTGCTCTGATTGAAGATATCCTAATGAAGAGTTCTATGATTGATTGGCCAGTTGACATCAACACAACTATAGGCTTGTACAGGCATTAAAAAGCCAAATTGTTGAAAGGAAAAACACACAAAATCTTGTAGTAAAATGTAGATGGAGTTGGAATATAAGCAGGCTATGAGTACAGGGTGGAAGGACTAAGCAAAAAGGAAAAAGGACTCATGGACATGGACAACAGTGTGGGAGTTTCTGGGTGGAGCAGATATAACGGGGACAAATGATAATAGAAAAATACATTAAAGATTACATGAAAAAAGAAAAAGAACTCTTCCTTGTGGATATGTGCTTGGAACAATTTTATAGGAAGCAACTGTTAGGCACTGTTGTATGGCTAAAGAAACAATTTTCTCTTTTGAAACAATAGCAACAAAATGCACTGCTCTGGGGACCATACCCTCTTAGTTTAGGCTTTCAAGGAAGGCTTTTCCCAACAAGATGATCAATTCTATAACACAATTTTTTGATATTAAAAATGAGTGTGTTGACAGTCACAAATTTATTCAAGCAAACAAAAATCTAAAAACATGAGTTATGTTTTTCTAACTGAATTAAGTAAAACTTGATTTCACCAGTAAATTATGTTGTTCATTAATCAGAATGCTGGATTGAAGAAAATTTTATAGTGCTTCATTTTCAGTTTGTCTTCCTCTCTCTCTTTTTCTACCCTACTCTTCCTCAACACAAATGCACACACCCTACACAATTTTTAACTTCAAACTAAATTACTTGGATCAAAGCTTTCTTAATCTTTTTTGGGCTTCACTAAGATTGTATTTAAAAGTTCCTGTCATACCTCAGATACACAATAGCCTGGGATATGGAATGATGGAACTACATTGAAAGCTAGGTAATCATGTCCAGAATTCCAACTCTTAGTGGGTTTATA